TAGAAGTTGCTATGGCGTTTGAAGGCGGCTTTATCAAAGTCTTCTTAAGGCCCCTGTCTTTCACAACTCTCCAAGACGAGGTCCCTTTACTACTGGTCTCCTCCATCGTTACTTCTCGTTGTTCTTTAAGCTGACGCACCTCCTCCCGCAGAGAGTCCAACTCTGTCCTCAGGGCTCCCACTAGAGTCACCAGGTCCTTAACTACAACTTCCATATTGCTATGATAATATAACAACAGGTTATAGGGTTGGTTAGGTAGGGTTGGTTAGGTTCGGTCATATATCTACATTAATTTTAACTCCAATAAAAAAAAATTGACCTCATACATAATGAAATGGGTAGCTTTATCATTTCATAAGAAAAAAATTAGAGAAAATATATTAATTCAGGAAAACTTGGCTTATTAGGCAAATCGAGCCTTGCATAGTAGGCCGAGAAGTGCGTTCTGGCTACTAGGTACGACATATATATATATATATATATATATATATATATATATATATATATATATATATATATATATATATATATATATATATATATATATATATATATATATATATATATATATATATATATATATATATATATATATATATATATATATATATATATATATATATATATATATATATATATATATATATATGTCGTACCTAGTAGCCAGAACGCACTTCTCGGCCTACTATGCAAGGCTCGATTTGCCTAATAAGCCAAGTTTTCCTGAATTAATATATTTTCTCTAATTTTTTTCTTATGAAATGATAAAGCTACCCATTTCATTATGTATGAGGTCAATTTTTTTTATTGGAGTTGAAATTAACGTAGATATATGACCGAACCTAACCAACCCTACCTAACCTAACCTATCTTTATAGGTTAGGTTAGGTAGCCGAAAAAGTTAGGTTAGGTAAGGTTAGGTAGTCGAAAAACAAAAAATTCATGAAAACTTGGCTTATTAGGCAAATTGGTCCTTGCATAGTAGGCTGAGAAGTGCGTTCTGGCTACTAGGTACGACATACATATATTATATATATATATATATATATATATATATATATATATATATATATATATATATATATATATATATATATATATATATATATATATGCGGAAAATCCACAGAGAAATATGAAAGAAAGTGAACGTTGCTTTGTACCTTCTCACAAGGTGCCTTACTTTGCCAAGACTGACCTATTTTCTAAGGTGTGCTCCCTCCCTCGATAGCCCAAAATTAACAGAATATGACTCACTCCTAAGGTCAATAACCGTGAAAGTGTTAAACCTCTCCCTGTAAGATGACCAATGGGACCAAGCAACGCTCCCAGTTAGACTCGGGGGGTATAGGTATTCGCAAGGCGACACAGTTAACATTGCCGGCAGTCTTATCCTCGACCAGTGCTACAGGTGAATTAGTTAAGGAAATACTACCGGAATACCTAAGAGGATCCATTGGGATTCATGATCCCAAATTCACGAAAGGAGCCAATCAGTGGGACACTCTTGTCAACTCTCACCCTCGACTGACTTTTCTAAATGACTGCAAACAGTCCAAATGGGATAGCCCCAAAGTGGAGAACATCGCTACATCATTGCTGGAGGCAGCTTCCAGGAAGGACAGAGCGCGTCTCCTAGCTGTGCAAGCGCCCCATGCCAGGGACTTCCTGTTGGCAGTCCCTAATTCCGCCTTGGGCACCCGCCTGGATCATCGGACCCTAAGTATTGGTGTTGCCCTGCGCCTTGCCGCCTACCTCCACCGAGCACCGGTGTATTTGCAGCCATGCACAGGAAGACCAATACGGCAGCCATGGTTTCATCTGTCGTAAGACACAGGAAAAAATTGCCAGACATGAAGCAGTCTGTTACAAATAGCGGGCTGTACTATGGGGGATCTGGTATAAATGGATGTAGGGGCAGTAGTTAGCATTAAGAGTTATCAAATATGGGAGATCTAAAAGGCCCGGCCCCCCAAAATAAAATATCCACAGTGAATATTAATTGGCTACAAGATAATGTCAGTCTAGAGGTTGATCATATATCTCCTACACAGGAAGAATGGATACTCCTTCAACTAACTTACTTATTAACCCATTAACAACCCCCATATACATTCTCACCAATAACAATAATAATAATTACTTTACCACACTATCTTACGTTAAAAGCCTTGGTCCACATAAGCAGGATACAAGGTTTACACTGAGAACAAGCTAAGGTAAAGTACTACTAGGGAAGAACTTGAAGCTTGAGTCAGCTTAGGGTAGTGAGACCACGTGGTACCCTAACACAACACAACTCTTAGGGATACCCAAAACACTGGCAAATACTACCCCAGGTTTACACAAATCTTTCACTTCCAGAGTAGGCCTCTCCCATGAGGCCTCTCCACTGTTCTGCCGCCTACGGGCGGCAGAACAGTGGAGAGGCGAGGAAAAAAGTAAGGGGACAAAGGGAACATCGGAACGAATCAAGAGAGCAGAAGAATTATGGACCCCAGCGACAGCTGGGGAAGGGGAGAGAAAAGAATAGCCATGGAAGCTACCAGGACGAGAACCAAGCATCGGCTCCTGGAGACAGACACAAAGGGGCGAAAACTGTGAAATGAGAAGTTGGAGGTCAAGGAAATTGGCGTAAAATCCACGGATGTTCCACTGGAGAAAAGACATCAGCAAAGAGAGAGAGGAGAGCAACAGAGAGCAAAGAAGAAACAAAGGTGAAGAAGGAACACAGCACGCTAAAAAAGCACGGAGTCAGGATCAGGGTCAGCGAAGTCAGGGTTAGGGGGCATGGGTAAACTGAGTAAAGAAGGAGGGCAAGAAGCAGGAGGACGGATCAAAGGTGGACGAGCAGGGTCTGGAGGAGAAGGAAGGGGAGGAGGGGGGGGGGCAGAAAGTGGGGAGTGCACCTCAGCAAGGGCAGTAACCGAGATGGAACCAGGGGCTAAAGAAACCCGCCACAGTAGGAACAGGGGGCACCACCACCGAAGCGGGAGGGGAAGGAATGATAGAATCAGAGAGGGGGTGAAGAAGAAAGCGAAGCTTTCTTACCAACAGGGGAGGAGGAAGGAGAGGAGCCAGGTTTCCGCTTCTGACTCAAAGATACAGGCGTCCCAGCAGCAACGTACTGGGCAACAGACTCCAGTGTCTCGATAGGAGAAGAAGATCGAGAGCGAGCAACACAACCATCAGGAGAGCGATGGACGTCGGCACGCACAGTCAGACGGCGTGGAGAGCCAGGACACGGAGGAGAAGGACGGAAAGGAGGACTAGAAGGAGAGGAAATAGAAGACACAGGAGACGTGACAGACTGGGTAGAAAGAAGGGGAGCCCTAGACAGAGAACCAGGAGGGGGACCCTTCGGAACAGAACGGAGGGAAACAGCGGAGGTGGTGGTGGGTGTGTCCGGGTCTAAGGCTCGGGAACGGTTGTGAGACTGAGGAAGGCGGGAAGGACGAGGAGAGGAAGAGCGCACCACGCGAGCATAGGAGAAACCGGCGAAAGAGGGGAGACGATGAACTTGGCGCCGAGCCTCAGGAAAAGACAAACTGTCTCTGTGCTTCAAGCTGAGGACAGCCGCCTCAAGTTTGTAGCGAATACATGCACGGGAGAAAGTAGGGTGGGCCTCACCGCAATTGAGGCAGCGGGCCTGGGAAGAAGTGCACTCTAACTTAGAGTGACCCTCGCTTCCACACAGGGGACAGAGAGAGACAGGACTAGAGCATTTGAGGGTACCATGCCCAAACCTCCAGCACTTACCGCAGAGCCTCGGAGAGGGAATATATTCCTGAACGGAGCATCTGACACCAGCAAGAATGACAAGAGGGCGGAAGGGACTTACCATCAAAGGTAACCTTCACAACCCTAAGGGGCAGACGGTGATGACCACGAGGGGGACGAGTAAATGTATCCATCTGGAGTACAGAATGACCCTGAGCCTTGAGGATATGCTTGATATCCTCGTGGCAGTCCTTGAGATCACTAACACCGGTCGCAACATGGTGTGGGAGGAAAACAGTGCCAACACTGGCATTCAATCGGGCGTTCTTCGAGACCCGAACAGGGGTCTCGCCAAGGCAGGATAAGGCGGCCAAGCGGGTGGCCGCATCCTGAGAAGGAGCAGCAACGACACGGGTACCAAGACGAGTGGGGTTGAAGGTGATAGAGGCATCCACGGAATCGACAAGATGCCTATGAAGGGAAAAATCATCAGGAGGAGTTGAATCCAAAGGTTGGAGGTCAAAGTATTTAGTCCACGTATCAGGACCAAACAAAGCATGGAACGAAGTAGGATGGGAAGGGAGCATACGAGAGCGGCCATGGCGGGGACGGCGATGAGAACCCTTAGAGAGAGACGGGACGAAAGGTACAGTAGTCACAAAGGATGGAGCCGTGCAAGGGGACGAAACAGTCACCTCAGCAGGCTTGGGGCTCGACCCAACCACAGAGGAGGGAGGGGAGCAGGGAGGAAGAGGGTCTGGGCCTAAACCGGGTCCCGTAGCGGAGGCTACAGATCCCGGTCTTCCAGGACGGTCCGACTCAGGGGCCTGGTCGCCCACCCCATGAGCCTGGGTAATAGAAGGCAAGTCATTATCCATACAGCAAACCAAACAAAAGAAATGGGACCTGGAACCAAGGGATACCACCTACCAGGTCAGCCAGGGAGGGCGAGCGCGGGCCAGTGCAGGAAGGGTGTGTCGTCCCCAGCGGTGCTCCCCCTTTTCAACAGGGGAGTCCTACTACTTCGTTCATTCTCCCACACTGGTGCTAAGACCCCAGTCCCCCTGTCGCCCCAGCCTGGTCACCCAACCATCCACTCAGGGCAGCCTCTCGCAGGCGACCCCTCCAGCGGGTGGTCCGATGGCTCACAAGGCCCCTACACGGTGCCCTTCAGCACGTACACCACCCAAAGAGGGGGGCAGGAACAAATTGCAATGTAATATACGTTTCACGATTATTTAAGATATATGTATGACTTTGGATGGATAAAATTAGACGCCGTTTTGTACATCAGTAACCTTTATTACTTTGTCGAGAGATTAAAATGCAGATTCGATTTTAATTGAAAGTACACAATATTTGGTTATTTGAACTTTCAAGATATAATAAACAGAATATATACATATTGTGAAGCCATACAGAAAGTCATAAAAAACATTATATACAGAACAATGCTAAAGAAGGTAGAAATTAAAAATGGCTCAGAATTAATGTACAAATAATATCAAAATGTTATTCACCGGTTCAAAAAAAGTAAAATATGTACATATTGTGAAAGTAAGTAAGTATTGTTCTTACATTACCATGGCCAGAACTAATGTTCTTACATTACCATGGCCAGAACTAATGTTCTTACATTACCATGGTCAGAACTAATGTTCTTACCATGGTCAGAACTAATGTTCTTACCATGGTCAGAACTAATGTTCTTACCATGGTCAGAACTAATGTTCTTACCATGGCCAGAACTAATGTTCTTACCATGGCCAGAACTAATGTTCTTACCATGGTCAGAACTAATGTTCTTACCATGGTCAGAACTAATGTTCTTACCATGGTCAGAACTAATGTTCTTACCATGGTCAGAACTAATGTTCTTACCATGGTCAGAACTAATGTTCTTACCATGGTCAGAACTAATGTTCTTACCATGGTCAGAACTAATGTTCTTACCATGGTCAGAACTAATGTTCTTACCATGGTCAGAACTAATGTTCTTACCATGGTCAGAACTAATGTTCTTACCATGGTCAGAACTAATGTTCTTACCATGGTCAGAACTAATGTTCTTACCATGGTCAGAACTAATGTTCTTACCATGGTCAGAACTAATGTTCTTACCATGGTCAGAACTAATGTTCTTACCATGGTCAGAACTAATGTTCTTACCATGGTCAGAACTAATGTTCTTACCATGGTCAGAACTAATGTTCTTACCATGGTCAGAACTAATGTTCTTACCATGGTCAGAACTAATGTTCTTACCATGGTCAGAACTAATGTTCTTACCATGGTCAGAACTAATGTTCTTACCATGGTCAGAACTAATGTTCTTACCATGGTCAGAACTAATGTTCTTACCATGGTCAGAACTAATGTTCTTACCATGGTCAGAACTAATGTTCTTACCATGGTCAGAACTAATGTTCTTACCTTGGTCAGAACTAATGTTCTTACCATGGTCAGAACTAATGTTCTTACCATGGTTAGAACTAATGTTCTTACCATGGTCAGAACTAATTGGCCACTAATTGGTTACGTTAACGGAATTAAATCACTGGGAGCTGAAACATGAATACATTTTTCATCCGCTTATTTCAAGTGAATTTTGGGATTATTTTATGAGCACATCGAAAATGCTCCCTCAGGTTACTATTCCGTGTAAAGGAACAGTCACAGACGGAACATTTGAAGCGTTTGTTGGCACCATGGGCCGATTGGTGCCTCTGCAAGTGACCTATCGAAGCTACTAAAATGCCGCAAGATGGACAGGACACACTCTTTTCTGGAAATATTGAATATGGTGACTGACGTCCGTTGGGTTTATTTGTCTTAATTTTGCTCGAATTCTTTTTCACTTTGTCCTCCATCTCTACTTCGTCCGCCCTCTGCTGGACTTCGTCCGCCCTCTGCTGGACTTCGTCCGCCCTCTGCTGGACTTCGTTTTCATTACTGGTCCCACCAATTACACCTGTAATAGGCTCGCTGCTGAATATGGAATGAATACAAACTTCCATGTCGTTTAATAAGACTTTGGAGGAGTGGTGATTGATTGTCTGCAAGTGACCTATCGAGACTACTAAAACGCCGCAAGACGAACAGGAGACAAAGTTTTCTGTCATACATGTTGAATATGGTGACTGATGTCCATCGGTTTTGCTTCTCTTAATTTTGCCCGCATTTTTCTTCATTTTGTCCTCGATCTCCTCGACTTCGTCCGCCCTCTGCTGGACTACGTTCTCATTACTAGCCCCGCCAAATGTAATTGTAATAGACTCGCTGCTGAATAAGGAATGCTTAAACCGCATGGTTGTTTGTAAGACTTTGAAGGACTGGTGATTGCTTGTCTGCAAGATTGCTTCTCTGCAGACATTAGACTGGGAACTGTGTGACTCTAAGGCAGTGTTGGCGCTCTCATTGGTTTCCTGTAGAACATCGTTGGGCTGGCCACTCAGCGCCAATGACATCGTCCCAAGTATCTCGTGGCCACCACGTGATAAACCTGCATCAAAAATTTAATATTGTGAATACTAATATAAACTATGTCATTTTATAATATATCTGACATAGGTGAATACCTTTTTGTGACGTTGTAAAACAGTAAATTAGACTCGAGGCTAACTAAAAGACACGGTTTTTGTGGAGGAAATATTTTGGGTAATTTACAGGTTCATAATTAGCTTCGGACTGAGATATATCCAAATTGTAACAGTTTACTTTCCTAGTATTCTATTTCCTAGTATTTCCTAGTATAGTAATATAAATCATTAGGTCAATTAAGTGACTAATTGAAGCTCAAAATTAAAAAGGATAAATATTACAACACAAACATACTAACCTTCAGATGGGAGTTCATTCTCAGGCGCATAGCCTTTCACGAAGACTTCTTTCCATTCGCCGTTGTCCTTGACATTATTGGTGGCTCCTGTAGGCTCCTCCTCTTTCTCATCCTTCAGTTGAAAGTCCTTTAACACAGACGGTTGTTCTGGCATATCAGCCATCCTGAAGGATTAATTATAAATCTTGTTATGTTAGAAACTACGGAGTCTCTTTAGGAACAGACATGTTGAATGGCTTTTGATTGATTGATAAAGATTAAGCCACCCTAGAGCTGGCACAGGCATGAATTGCCCGTAAGGTAAGGTAATTATCAAAAGAAGGCACCAAACCGGGAAGGCTATGTAGCACCATCAAAGTGCGAAATAATCAGAGGGCGCTAAATATAATCGAGAATGCCAGTACGAGAACAAAATCGCATAAAGCGAACGATATCAAAAGTATCTGATTCACCTAGAATTCTATTGAGGGACAAGTGACATTGAGGGACAAGTGACCGCGAGGGACGGTCGGAAAGCAAGACATGCGCTCATCCTGGAAGTCAAGACATTCAACAAGGATATGCACAACTGTAAGAGGGACAATGCAATTTGGACAATAAGGAGCAAGGCGGTGCTCCAGTAAGTGACCATGGGTTAAGCAAGTATGGTCAATCCGCAGCCTTGCCAAAGCAGTTTCCCACCACCGGTTAAGGTGGTAGGAGGAAGGCCACGGAGACACACTACATTTGAGAGTACGCAGCTTGTTACTAACTACAGAGGACCAACAACCCTGCCAACGGGCAAGGATGGAGGAATGAATAACAGGATAAAAGTCTGAATAAGGAAGTCCTTTACGGGAGATGGGACAAGAACGGATAGCTTTCTTAGCGGCAGCATTCGCACGCTCATTTAAAGAGACACCAATATGGCTGGGAACCCAGCAAAACTCTACCAATTTAAATTTACTAGAAATAAGAAACGGCCAATGTTGAATCTCGATGACCACCGGATGGACAAGATTAAAGGACCCCAGAGCCATGAGGGCACTACGAGAGTCAAATACAACCACAAAGGAGGAATGACAATGAGAAAGCAAGAGACGGGGAGCATAGAGAATAGCATAAAGTTCTGCTATGAAGATGTTAGCCTCCGAAGGGAGGCGACACATAAGTGCGGTCAGGAAAAACAACAGTAACCCACACCGTCCGCAGACAGACCCATCGGTGAAGATGGAAATAGAGTGGGAGTGCGAAAAAAGTGATCAAGGAAGAGGCTTTTCAGAATCTTAGGAGGGGTAAAGGCTTTAGGGATACAAGTCAAGGACGTACAAAACTTGGAAAGGGGGACTCTCCACGGAGGTAAGGAAGGAACAATATGAGGAGAAACATTAGAAATATGAACAGAAAGAGAATCCTGTAAGCGAGCTAACCGAACAGAAAGAGGGAGACGATGAAGAGGAACAGGAGCTACAGAAGGAGTAAAAGTTAAAGCACGACAGAGGCGAGAGGAAGGATGTTGTAAGGACCGCGCAAGATAGCGAAGACAGTAGCGATCACTGCGGTCCTGAAGAGAGAGGAAGCCAGTGTCAACATACAAACTGAGGGCGGGAGTCAAACGAAAGGCACCAGAGCCAAGACGCAACCCTTGATGGTGCAAAGCATCAAGACGGCGAAGAGTAGAAGGAGAAGCAGAAGATTATGCAGGGTAACCATAATCGAGTTTAGACAGGACGAGAGAGGAGTGCAAATAGAGGAGCGTGCGCCTATCCGCTCCCCAAGAAATATGGGACAAAACCTTAAGTAGGATAAGGACCTTAGAGCATTCAACTCGGAGGTAAGAGATATGGCCTGACCAAGACAAACGAGTGTCAAAGACTAACCCCAAAAGCTTCGCGGAATCCCTGTACACAATGGGATGACCATAAAGCGACAAAGGAGGACGAAGAACTACATGCTTCCGAGTAAAAGTCATAGCACAAGTCTTAGACGTATTGAACTTGAAGGTCGGTGGCCCAAGACGACATAGCATCAATCGCAAGTTGAAGCCGCCGTTGTAGCAGCGGCGAATCATCACCCTGACAGCAAAGGGTGAGATTGTCAACATAGAGAGCGGAGAAGACGCCAGAAGGAAGAGAGGAAAGAAGACCGTTGAGGGCAACCAGAAAAAGAGTAGTGCTCAGGACACTACCTTGGGGTACACCCTCATACTGCCGAAAAGGGGCAGAGAGAGTGGTACTAAGCCGCACACGAAAGGAACGACGAGAGAGGAAACTCTGGAGGAAGAGAAGGAGATTCCCCCGAAGGCCAAAAGAATGAAGTTGAGACAGAATATGATACCGCCAGGTAGTGTCTTAAGCCTTTTCCAGGTCAAAAAGGACGGCAACAACGGAGGTCTTCGCAGCAAAAGCAGTACGAATATAGACCTCCAAGTTCACCAGGACATCTGTTGTGCTGTGGCACTTGCGAAACCCAAATTGAGAAGGGGAGAGGAGGAGATGGTGTGCCAGGAACCACATCAGATGAACGTTAACCATACGTTCAAAGAGTTTGCAGACAATTTGTGAGGGCAATAAGGCGGAAGTCCTTTGGGGATGACCCGAGAGAGCCTGGTTTCTGAACAGGGAGGACAACAGCATCGAGCCAGTCTTTAGAGACTGACGACGACGACTCCCAGACCCGATTGTACAGACTCAGTAAATAGTGAGATGTGCACAGAGCGAGATGGCGAAGCAGTTCATAATGAATGCCATCGGAGCCCGCCGCCGTAGAACCGCAAAGGGCCAGGGCTGACTGAAACTCAGAGAGAGAAGGGATCATTATAGGGAAGGCGAAGATAAGTACAGAAATTTAGGACAAGATTCAAGAATAGGCTTATGAAGAAGGAAGGATTGGGGAAGATGAAAACCAGAACTAACGGATGAAAAATGGGAACCCAGTTCGGTAGCGACCTGCAACGGGTCCGCCACAAGAGCACCATGAAAGTGAAGGACCGGCGAGACATCGGGAACGAACTTACCCGCAATCTTGCAGACACGCTTCCAGATCAGTGGTAGAGGAAGTTCGGATGTAACAGTGGAGACATAAGACATCCAGCAAGCACATTTAGCCGCACGGATGGTCCTACGGGCCACCACACTCGCCTTCCGAAACAAAAGATAAGACTTAACCGTCTGCCGGCGGCGATGTCTCTTCCAGGCTGCACGCTTACAGTGGACAGCCCGAGTACAGTCCACATTCCATCAGGGAACGCACTTCCGCGTTCCCCGAGAGGAAGAGCGAGGAATAGAGTGAAGGGCAGCATCAAAGAGTGTCATGAAAAAGAAGGAGGGCGCGAGGGAGAGGCAGAACAGAGGTCGGAAATAGTAGCACAGAGTAAAGAGGCGCCTCGGCAAACCGCCACCTAGGGAAAGAGAGAGGAGGGCGAAAAAGAGAAAAAAGTAACAAGGATAGGAAAATGATCACTGCCTTGAAGGTCATCAAGGACCCGCCACCCGAAATCTAAGGAAAGGGATGATAAGCACAAAGAAAGATCGAGACAGGAAAGGGAGCGAGTATGAGAGTCCAAATGAGTTGGTTCACCAGAATTAAGAGCGGACAGGGAAGAAGAGAGGATGAAAGGGTCAAGGAGGCGACCCCGGGTGTTTGTCAGCACATCACCCCAAAGGGCATGACGACAATTGAAATCACCCAGCAGGAGCACAGGCTCCGGCAAGAATTCTAGGTGGTGTTTAAGATCGGGAAGAGAAAGTGGGACAGTGGGGGGGGGGGGGAGATAAATGGAACAAACCGTGTACCATCTACGCACAAAGACACGGGCAGCAGAACAGTGGAGAGGCGAGGAAAAAAAGTAAGGGGACAAAGGGAACATCGGAGCAAATCAAGAGAGCAGAAGAATTATTGGGGGGGGGGGGAGAAAAGAATAGCCACGGAAGCGACCAGGACGAGCACCAAGCATCGGCTCCTGGAGACAGACACAAAGGGGCGAAAACTGTGAAATTAGAAGTTGGCGGTCAAGAAAATTGGCGTAATATCCAGGGATGTTCCATTTAAGAATAGACATTGGCAAAGAGAGAGAGGAAAGCAACAGAGAGCAAAGAAGAAACAAAGGTGAAAAAGGAACACAGCACGTTAAAGAAGCACATGGTCAGGATCAGGGTGAGCAAAGTCAGAGTTAGGGGGCATAGGCAAACTGAGTAAAGGAGGAAAAGAAGCGGGAGGACAGACCAGAGGTGGATGAGCAGGGTCTGTAGGAGAAGGAAGAGGAGGAGGAGCAGAAAGAGGGGAGCGCACCTCAGCAAGGGCAGGAACCGAGATGGAACCGGGGGCTAAAGAAACCCCCACAGGAGGACCAGGGGGCTCCACCACCGAAGCGGTAGGGGTAGGAACAATAGGGGTGAAGAAGAAAGCGAAGCCTTCTTACCCACCGAGGGGGAGGAAGGAGAGGAGCCAGGTTTCCGCTTCTGACTCAAAAAGACAGGCGTCCCAGCGGCAATGTACTGGGCAATAGACTGCAGCGTCTCGATAGGAGAAGAGTGAGAGCGAACAACACGACCACCAGGAGAGCGATGGACATCGGCCCACACAGTCAGGCGGCGTGGAGAGCCAAGAGACGGAGGAGAATGACAGGAAGGAGGACCAGAGGGAGAGGAGAAAGAAGACACAGGAGACATGACAGACTGGGTAGAAAGAAGGGGAGCCTTAGACAGAGAACCAAGAGAGGGACCCTCCAGGACAGAACGGAGGGAAACAGGGGAGGTGGTGGTGGTGGTGGTGGTGGTGGTCGTGTCTGGGTCCAAGGTGTAGAGGGAACCACATTCAAAGTGCCCGCCAAGGAGACATTTTACAGTATAGGCAGGGCTGTGCCCTGATTAGTGGACGACGACGGCGCACGGCCTACCCGCGCGGCAGCCCGCGCAGGCCGAGTGGGCCAGATTTGAACTGCATGTAACCCAACGCGGACGACGCCTGCCCGGCACCACTGGCACTTAGGATATGTGCCCATAGGACCCCTAAGAGGCATTGACTCCCTCTGTCCTACCCTTCCTGAGGAGCCTAGACTTGCTCCACCTACCCTACCAGCCCTTCCTCTCCCTACGACGACAGTTCCAGGTGAAATATTACTGTACTATTGTTGTAACACGTGGGTCACCTCTACACCTCTTGAAAACGGTTGTGAGACTGAGGA